GAACTTCCGGAAAAATACCGCCTCCTTCGTCTCTCCCACCACACAGTCTTGTAGTTAATTATTGTGAATTGTTGTGTCGCTGCACGAACAGGAAGCCTGGAACGACAAAAAAAAACGGAGCTCCGTCGGAAATATACAGATCAGCACGCGTAAGTGCGCACAAAATCCCGTCGCGCTGGGACTGGGAAATCCATACCTTGTATTCGAGTATACCCTCATATGATGAAACTTCAGGTAAGACGTAACCATTGAAATTCGTGCAGGTAATTTTTTTGAGGAATCGATATTGTAATCGCATAAGGGTCACACACAGGCGGCCATCCAAAGAGAGAACGCGCGCGCATGCACAAAGGGGACACGCTACCGCGAGCTCCATGCAACAGACACTTTGAGGGTCAATTCAAACTTTTCTTCTTGCTTGTTCGGCGTAACCATCCTTCGAACCTCGCACCAGATGCCGCCGCAACAGATCGCATTTCTGCCACAAGCCGCTTACGTCGAAGTACTGTGACGACTCATTATAGATCTCTTCATAATTGTTTACACTCAACGAGCCACCCACTATCTTACTCTTGTGGCATTATTATGCTACCAGATTAGTCCCCCGTCAACCGCCGGGACCTTCCTTTTCCTGCGCAAGCTTTCTATCTCGCTATGGTCCTTTCCTCCTGCTGACACCAACACCTCGTGGAAGTGACGCGCGTATGCAACCAATGGTGTTCAAACAGTAGAAGGGAACACAATCATGATATGACGGTAGATTTTTCGCTCTCCCTTCCTCATCCTCCCGTCCTCTCTCCACTGACCTCCAGCTGCCACTGCAGCACCATGTTGAATGAACGGAATTGCTAAGCAGTGTTTATATAGGCCTAAGAAGTGTTATCACAACTATTGCTACAAAACATTGATATCTCAAATCCTGTAAGCTACCCGATTTGTTAGCGGTTTGTTTATCCATGAGCTTCCTTCTCACTCATTTCATTTTGGGACGGACACACAATAGGTACATACACACACACGCCACACACAACATACAGATACACAAAACGACACACAAAGTTAGCGCTTTATAAAATAGAAGATAAGTCCCACCTAGCCACGTGCGCAGTTTCAGCTCAAGTCTTACTCGCTCTGATTTCTGCAGTACTCTCAGCCTCTTTCGAACGTCCAGCTTCTTCTTGCTGCGAAATATATTCACCTCTCTTTTTCCTCTCTTCTTTGCCCCCGCTTCATACAACAAAGGCAAAGTTCAAACGTCCACAGCCATTTCCCTCAGCTTTTTCAGCGACTGTTAGAATGTTGCACTCTGCCTTATGCCTTGAACAAGCTTTTTCTCAAGTCTGGAATTAAACATCACAACATCTGCCCGCTCATCTGATTCATGCTCGTGTTTTTTTGCCGTTCTCATAGGAAAGCTTTGTGATGACTGATTGAAGTGTGCGATAGGAACGCAGCCCACATAAAATACGGGTCGGCTAACTCAGTTTTATTCAGACGTCAGCGCAGTCATCGCTGAAGCTTTCAACCTTGCCTTCTTCAAAGTCTAACTCGCCCGACAACTAGATCGCAAACGACTGAATTCGAAGGGATAACTTTTCGACACCGGAACCAAAACTACACCGCAACAGGTAACCCTACCCCCACCCTCGGATCTGACCACGGCAGTCGGGACATCGGTCGTGACTGCCGTGTTAGAACCATGCCCATGACGGAATCCGATCCAGTCGTAGTTTTAGCAGCCTGGCCCTTCTGGCACTCGCGCCCAAGACACTCAGAGCTCTTTACGCGAGCCGATGCCATGGACTTTTGAACTCCTATGGCAGCGCTCGAGGATATGATGGTAAGGATGGGTGTGGAACTCCATCCGCTACCCGAGCAGCCTCAAAAACTATACTCTTGTTGGATTTAAACGATGGAGAAGGCCGTGACTTGATCGACGAGATCCGGACAGCTGACAAAAACCAGTACGGCAAGATATATCGAGCAATTACGTGGCCACGTTCGAGTCTCCCACCCTCCGCAGCTACAGCAATACTTCAGGCGACTGCCCAAACAAGGCAATCGGAGTCCCGCCACAGTGAAGTTTGCAGACTAGAATAAACAAATTGTCAAATAGGCGACCGCGGCCAGCCTAAGGCTACGCAAAAAGGAAACGGCTTGCGAGACGTAATATCCTCGGACCGTTTTAAGAGCCTGCGTTTAAGAGTTCACGATTTAAGGCAGCTAACCCCCACTTCAGACGAGGCGGTTAGTCAAGGCAATCACCTACGTAATCTCTTCGAGCGGATGCAGTAATGCCATCCACACATATTGCCACGGTGCAGGCACCAACCCCATATTTCACGTCGTGGCAAGGCACAACGCGGAAAATTTTAGAGGCCGAGCCGCATATTACCAGCGCAGACCCAATTTCGCCAACCGCCAGCTGTCGGCAAGTCCACATCAAAGGGGTACCTTTAACCGCAGAGCTATGGAACGAGCCCCAAATTCGGACGTGACGTGTTTTCGTTGTGGCAGAACAGGCCACATCCAAACATTTTGCAGATACGATCTACCGCCGGCTCACTTGGCCCCACCTAGGCCGTTCTATCGATCCGGAAACCGACGTCCTAACAACCTAGGACAACGGCAACAGCAAGGCCCTTGGAGTGGACGTCGTCCCCTAGATAATCAGAGGTGGAACAACAATAACAAGGTGCAGCTCACTAACCCATCTATTTTCAGACAGCCTGCTTCCCGTAGCCAACCGGAGGTATTCGCCCTCGAGCCAACGGACGACACCACGCCAGTGAACGATGGATCGTAGCCATTGAGCGACCAACAGAAGGATGCCCACATCGCAGCTCTCATCGAGAGGAACAGCGCGTTGGCGGACTTAGCGTTCGCAACCCGCGACCTTAATCTCCAAGATCAGCCCCATGAATGCCCTCCGGGTACATCCAGAACTTCATCTTCTTCGGTAAACTGGGCATATTCATGTATGCTCGCACTTGCAATATGTTCTCAGATTTCAGAGGCTCAAGTCGTACCACCTCTCTTATGTTCGAACAAGGCTCCCGTCACTTACTGGAAAATTCCAACGGACATCAACTGCACCCGGATCCTGCCACCATGGACGGCTAAGGCAACACCTATGAAGCTTAGAATATACCGTCCAAACACCATCCGATATAAAAGTTCTGCACATGTCTGTCGCGTAGTAACGCAAACAGCGACATATTCAGTAAATTTTTTCGGAGCTAGGTCACAATCCGTCGTCTCTCTGGAGCAAACTGTACCATCAGAAGCATGCCGTCATATGGTCGCACACAAAACATGCGCCTACGGCGACCTCATTACGGTAGGAACAGTTATGAAAACCCTCAACAAACTGAACATAGAATGGCCTTCCATTGTTGTACGGATTACTCCTCTTCGGTGACTAATTGTATTGTTTTTCAGGCGTCAATTTTCGCGTACCACGGCTCGGACGCTATTGAAAGTTCTATCGGTCCACTTGAGAACTGCTCATATCACAAGGGCGAGTGCAATATGGAATCCGGAGCAGCTATTATTTGGACCCCGGACGAACAGGAAACATGTAAGTATATTTACGTTTCATCTATGAAAGGCACTCTGGCCGAACATGTCTGGCTTAGCGACTCGGAGGAGTTCGCCCTCTCATTTTCTTTATCCAGTTCTCCTATCCTGGATTGTGGTCATTCTCTCATTGTTACTGACCAGGGTTATGCCATCGGGACTTCACCCCTCCATCGTTCAAAACGGGCCACTTCCATTCGCCAACAGGTTGGTCTCGCGACACCAATCAGCTGGCAGCCCAACTCCTGGCAGTTGAGGACAGCATGCAGGAATCTATGAGCAATGCGTTCCACCACGCAATTTTGGCATTGTGCAAGTCCGTAAACTCATTCAGCGCTTCATTAGTGGCAGCTATTTCTGCAAATCCCACAGTGGCTATGCGCAATATTCTACAACGCAGCGATATTGAGGCCACCTTCCTTGGAGGCAATATCGTTCGTACTAAGTCATGTGCATCTCTCTCTCCTTCCATGTACTCTTTGTCCCCATTCAATAAATCGTGCTTTTCGCTACCTTCTATCTCAGTAAATCTACCCAACAAAGCCAAATGGAAAGCCTTCATTGATCCATCCACAAGCATTATTACGCACTTGGCCACCTCTATTCCTTGCTCACAAGATTTATTCTTTGAATTTCCTTTCAACGGTTCTATTTCTCAATATTTCCCTTTTTCTAATCTCTTCCGGTCAATCCCTCACTCCACCATTACTGTGCTCGAGCATTCTTTCAACCGCCCGCAGAGCGAAATTCGCCCTGCACTCACTTTGTTCCATAATTTAGTCATCACTAATATCAGTGAATTCATTCCTGAGCAACAATTTATGGAACTATGGTCCGCCGTTGAAGGGACTCATAACGCGCTTAACGTTCACGTCGATGAAGAATCTTTCTCTAACCTGTCTCACCCTCTCGCAATTGCAGCTCCTTCCTTTACTACTCGTGTATTCACTTATATTCTGTCCACCATCTATGAACCTTGGGTCACCGTGTGCTGCACGGTCGTTACTATTCATGTTGCTTTTCGCTTACTTTTACTTTACTTTTCTTGTCAAGTTCCACCAAACCTCCTTAACCATGTCGCACGGTTCTATCGCGCAAGGGGACGTGGCCAGGATCGACCAATCATGACGCCGCAGGGATACCGTACCCCGGCGGACGCACCAACCGAGCTGGCGCCTCTTACCACCTTCCCCTCCGTATACACTCTCTCACTCGACACGCAATCCTTCTCTACGCACATAAGGATTACCGTAAACAGGATCAACGTGTCAGCTCTGATTGACACGGGATCCAATATCACCTTGGCCGCTCAAAGTCTGTGTGCAGCCCTGGGAATTTTCAAACTTGACCCACCACTATCTGTCACCGCTATGGGCATGGCGGGCTTTCGCGTCCCAATAGCGGGATCTAAAAAGGTTTAAATGAACATAGCTGCAATGGCCCTCCAACCCGTGATCCACTTCACCAAAGGCGCGTGCGTGCCGAACATAAATTCAGCATACGAAGTGATTCTTGACAACGACATCCTCGCACAGTTGCCCAAGATGACCATCGATTTCCAGAATCGAACGGTCTCCTTCGGCGCAGTATCGCTATGTCCAACCTTCTCGAAAATGCCATCCTGCTCTGTTTCCAGTATGCGTAAGTAGCACAATCCAATTACAACCCAATACGGAAACTCTTGTACCCTGTACTCTACAACATCCTGGGATAGACCAGGACCTCATCCTCGTCTCTCAAGCTTCTTCTCTTTCTCAAAGGGACCTTGCCGTAGCTCCCGCCATAGTCAGCTCTCAACAACCAACACTTTTAGTTGCTAATCCAACCAACCAACCTCAAACGTTGTATGCGGGTATGCACATCGCAAAAGCGACTATTCTTTCTAAAGAACATGCAAAAGAGGACAACGAGGAGCACGGTCGAACCCCGGTAGCGGTAACCTGCGCAACCGCAACAGACATTGTGGATCCTTCGTATAGAATCGACCTCGACAATTGCGATCTCACACCTGCTCAGCGCGACCAACTACGCCGTTTACAGGACAGCTATGCTGACGTTTTCTCGCGACATCGGCAGCTGCACCGCAGGGAAAGTCCATATCCATACCACGGACGACCCACCTGCAAAAGTTCGACCGTATAGGGTCCCCGTAAAATATCGGGAGGAGATTCAAAAACATATTAACCTACTCCTAAAGGCTGGTGTCATGAAAGAGTCACAAACCCACTGGGTTCACAACTTGGTAGTGGTTCGAAAAAAGGACAACTCGTTACGCGTCTGCCTCGACATGAGACGTCCAATTAACGAGGTCACCTGAAACCCTCCCAGACCCATACCCCATACCGCGCATTGACGACGTGTTGGAGAAAATAGGGGGCAATAGCTTTTACACCACATTAGACTTAGCCAGTGGCTACCTGCAGCTACCGCTTGACGAAGAAAGCAGCTATAAATGCGGCGTAATCACTGAAAATAAGATCTACCTGACCCATCTCCCATTTGGCTTGAAATCAGCTGGCAGCTATTTTGCGCGCATCATGTCTAAAGTACTGGGCGGCCTAGAAGGGAACGTTTTGACCTATATCGACGACATCCTGGTGGTACAGTAAACGATGCCAAATCCTCTAACTTCTCTTCGAAACATCCTTTCTACGCCTATCGTTTTTACCATTTAACCACTCAAAGCTCACAACTAAAAAATGCACTCGCCGCGAAAACACAAATCACTTGCTCCTGAGCATCCTGTCATTCAAAGCGACACTCATTGCGCGTGAGGCCTAGAACACCCCGTCGTCGTGAACTTCCCCACTCCAATTACCAACTCACAAAGAAGCCTAAACGCTTCCTCGTGTCGCATTTTTCGCACATTCATCTCCTCAAACTTTGCGAATATCACAGAAACCTCCCTCTTACACGACTTTAACTCGCCAAGCACATATAAATTTCTATCGGGCTCGGTTAACCAAGTAATCTGCATTCAGGAGCCTACGCGTACCCGTTCAAGCAAACCGTAATTCGGATAACCCGACTACTCGGCCAATCCATTTCCAAATAATAGTCCCATCGACGCCTAGCACCAGTCGGCTCAAAGTCGGAGCCTCAGCTAAGCAAACAGGTTCAACCCACGACGCTAGGACGCCCATCGATGGCTATTCACTACAACCTATTCACTAACTACTCCCCGACCCCGCTACTAATCCATTGCCTTGCCTTCAAACATTCACTCCTTTCTTTTCAAGCTTCACTCCATCCTCTAACCAACGTTGCCATTTCCTTTATTCCCATATAATGTCTTCCATTTGCCGGTTTCTCTTCGTGTTCGTGGCGCACATCGCATAGCAGTCGCCGCTTACCGCATACCTACAGTAACAGCTTTCAGGTAAAATGTCCGGTGTTTCGGGCGAAGATAAACCCGTAATCAATTTCGACGAAGCTAGCGAGGAACAGAGCGTTGCCTCATCGAAGGAACCCTCGCTCATACCATCTCCGGGTGCACCTAGTACCTCTCGTGGTAATAGTTTGCCAACTCATTTCACCTTCGCGTTAATCATTTTCACACCGCTTCCTTCCCATCATATTACACCTCCCTATTTCAGCCAAGTCGACTTCCCCTGAGCCGTCCCTCATGGACACGCTCATGGACGAGCTACCACTAGAAGAAGCGTTCCAACTCCTATACGGAAGCGAGCCGGGTGACGACGATAGTCACATGGTCGTTTCGTATGAGGACTCGTCAGTTAGTAATGAGCCCATTGCCTCTTCGGAGGGATCGGCGACAAATATTCCACGGCGTGGTAAAAAGTCCTGAGCCGTCTTGACGACTTTTTTTGTGTCTTTGCTTTTTATTCCACGTAGAGTGGAATCTACCCACACAAGCTATAAATCAGCCCATTGCTACCCCACATAAGAGTCCCAACCCCTAATGTGCAGTTTCAGGCGACTCTGCGCGTCCTTCTCCCAGAACAGAGCAGACTGAGAGTCAAGAATCAGCTGACCGCTTGTCTTTCCAACTTCATTTAAGCCGTTTGGTGAACTCTTTCTATCGCTAGGGATCCCATTAAGGGGAATAGAGTAAGTGATACATCAAGAAGCCAATGTAACTCCGGAATCTGGATCGGATGGGGAACCCGCGTCCGAGCCAATCAGACACTGACTGCCAATTCTGGCGCGGGTCTCTTTAACTTTGTGCGGCCCGGCGGAGTATTGTGGAGTAGGTGGGACAGAGTTCGTCTCGGTCGTTTTTCTTGGAACAGCGTCCGCTAAGTTTCCGAGCAGACTGGGTAACTGCCTGCTGTAGCGGTATGTCTTTAGACGCGAGCATATCATGAGTAACAGGCATTACTCACGAGATCCAGAGGTAGCCAAAGGAGAAGCTTTTGGGGTGAAAGGTCCGAATTTTGTTTTTGTGTCCGGGCAGGCCCTCTCTTAGAGGGAAGCACACGGCACGCGTGCTTGTATTAGTCGTATAAGGACCCGACTCTCATCTTCTCGTAATGACGCCTCCAATTCCTTTCGGTGGCGGGCAAAGGAGAAACTGACAAATGTGGTAACGCTGAACCGCGTGCTATCGGTCAAGACACTGAGAATCCATTGAGTCACTCCACTATTCCTAAATGGCGAGGTGTGCCGAGGAGCGAGGGACTGTGGGATGGGTGCAACGCCGAGTCTTATGCACCAAGGCGTGCGGGTGCTAACGCTCCGCGATCCGCTTTCGACAGCGCGAGAAAGAGTTGGTCTTCTACGTTTCGTGGCTTCCCACCTTGTCTTTTCTTTGAGAGCCGTGTTCCTACCTCGAGCCTGGAACAGAGCTGGGCACTGATGATGGAAGTGGTGACCCTTCCAATGCGATGCTGATAATGTTGACGTTTCCACTGCTCCTGTGCCGCAGCGCGGATCCAATTGAAGATGATCGCTCGAAAGTGTTCTTGTTGGATCACCATCATGTATTGAAGTTGATAGAAGGCAACCCGGCAAATATATACCTATTGCGGAGAGTAGGATCGACAACGATAGTCTATCACGTAAGCAGATTCTAGGTATCGACCAATAAGCGAAAGTTCTGGAGCTCTCAAAAAATCGGCTCAGGACCTTTTTTACCATCTCTAATACAATTTTGCGAGGCCTCACGCAGCCTACAGCTGAAAATGTTAGGGCACGCACCCAGTCCTAAAAGGTCTAAACTTGAACTAGAGCCCATGTTTAGACCAGGTCGATTCCATAACGCGAGTATGGGCAACAACACAAGTGTCCCAAGAGCCACTTATAGAGGGACGAACCCACCTCAGGCGAACTCGACAATGAGGCCCCTTCCATAACCGCTGGAGTCCACGTTAGAGGGTAGAGCGGCTTTACAAACCATCCGTGGCAAAGCCTTTTTGGAGCCCAAATCACTCCATAAATTTCGTCGCATACGATCGCGGAACTTCGGCCTCCAAATTTGAGCGCATCACAGCTGCATGGGTACAGCGGGTTGTCACCTTTTGTGCGCCACAGCGCGTCTTAACTATGCAGGGGTCGGCCATGCGCTCAGTTTGGAGGCAAGTCGGACCGCGCGCAATTGAAAGCTTCCGCGACGCAGGCCATTCGTATCGTGGAATTGTTTCAGGAAAGCGGCTTGAGGGAGCCGAATTTCCTGAGCGCGCCAAAGGCTGATCCGGCTCTGCCGACGAAATGCTGGCGCTATATTAAAGGTCTGTTATCACGAGGGCATACATCCAGTGCTGTACCGCGTAAAATCGCTGTTGGCAAGGAGCCGCGCCTGGAGTCGCGTCCACATGGAGGTTCCATTACCGGACGCGGTATTGATCTTCATACGATCAACATTAGAGCATTCGCGCTCACGTTCTGCACGGAGAAACGCCACGTGGATATTTCATCTCCTGATTGGGGATTTGGTATGGGTTTACTCCTTGACCCCATCCAAAAAATTCCTAAAGGAGGGCGTCCCATACCCGGAAACAATTGAACAGGCTTGCCACCATCGTAGAGCAACGGTGTGGCGCGTCGATCGTTTTGGTCTCATCCATCGGGACCTCAAGGAAACGCTGGGTTATGTAATCACCATTGCATCAAAAGCGTACCAAACCTTCCAGGTATGCATGAAGGGTCACCGCACCGTGGTGACGGTTAACAGGAACCGTCTGAATTCCGACGTAGACTTCACCAATCTACAGCCGAATTCGTTCATCACGGCGCCCTTTCGCCCGCGTCAGCTGGACTACATGTTATTCGCCTGCGAGCCGACACCGATCGCGTTCAATCATCTACGCGAATTTTTGGCGGATGTGCAATATTTCCCTAGCGCTCCGCCCGCACCATTCGACGTACGGCCCACATCGGCGCATCACCAAAATTGGTGCGCAGCAAGCTGACCAATTTCCAGCTGTTCCATTCGTGCCCAAGAGAGGTGATGCCTTTCTGGGAGTCCTTGTACGGTACAACAGTGGGTACTATAACCGCCTGCATAGCGGAAACGATGGACACCAAACTCCATCCCGCGTTATGGTCCACCCCGGACATAAACGCGTACCCCACGCTGGCGCAGTTCCAAGTCCCAGTCCAGGGAAAAACTGGTTGGACCGTAGGTCAGTACGTAGAGGGAGCGTTTCAAACGTATATCATCCGTGCTCGCATAACGCGCATTACGCAGGACGATGAACAAATCACCGTTACTGCCCAAGTGCATCCGCGCGATACTCCACGGTTCCGCATTTATATAACGCGTGCATGGCGCAACCGTATCTCGGCAGGCACATACCTTCGGGGCGGTATGGAGGACCGCTCCAACCCAGTACTCACCTTGCTGGAGGGAACATCGGTATCCCGCTTGTTTACGTCTCAATCGCGGGCTTGGTCTGCCGCTCGCGCGATCCTAGCAGGCGATTCCGACCTTTACGGGCGTTCCAACAACCGTAGGAAATCGATCACGGCTACCGTAGCTGGCGAAAAAGTGGAGCTCAATAACCATCAGGTTAACGCTGTTAATCAGTTCCATAAGGATTATCCGGTCCTTATTATCGACAGCGCGTACGGAGCAGGTAAATCACTCTGCACCGCATTAATGGCCATCGAAGCCGTACAGCGCGGGAAGGTCGTACTGATCGCAGCCGTACAAAATACGGCTCTCGACGTTATTTGCGCCAAACTGGCCCAAATGGAGACAACAGGTGTACGCCCGGTACGGTATGTCAGTGAAACACTGGCTCGGGACGCTATTCGCTCAGGCCCGTACGACCTGGCATGTCTGATGGAACAGATACCACAGACCCACGGTGACACAATGGAGGAGCGCGAGATGGCTGCTTTCACCGCATTCGCCGATCGACGGAAACGTCTCCGCGACTTCATCTTCACCGGCGTGGAGCGGAATCTCATGGCATCGGAGCACAAAACGCTCCTTTTCCTTGAGCAGGCAAATTCGGAGCGCATCAAAACGCTCACGTCAAGGTTCCTCAAGATTTATGAGCCGAATATATTCCTTTGTACCATCTCATCGGCCATAAATCTCACGACCAAAAATGGGCTGTGGCGTCGCCCCTCGCGCAAATGGAGTACGGTCCTCTTGGACGAGGCTTCGATGATTCCGGAAGCCACCCTAATTGGTCTTTTCTCAAGGTTTCCGGAAGCCACATATACCCTCGTCGGTGACAGCAACCAGTTGCCACCCTACATCGGCACACAAAGGGCACCCCTCGCGGTCACCCTTTGCTCACGATCCGTCCTGGACGTAGCTCGGCGCGTCGGCAATCCCCCAACGTGCAAGATCAGCACCGTGTATAGGCCGCATCCGAACATGATGGAGCTCAACTCGCGTATGTTCTATAACGGTGAGTTAGTCTGTGGTACCGCTAAAGAGGCTCGCCTCGCGCTCCTCAACCGGGTCTGGATGCCGAACGCGGACCTCCCGATCGCTTTCATAAACATCGTGGGCGAATCGGTACAGTCCGTGACCGGATCACAGAGCAACTCAGTTGAAGCTCGCGCAGTTGCAGTGATAGTTCGCCTCCTTTTAGCGTCTTCAATCTCGGCGGAGAACATCATGGTCATCTGTCTCTACCGAGACCAACTCTACCTGTGCGAGTCTGCGCTGAAGGGATCCAACGTAGCGGTCAAAACCGTGGATAGCGCACAAGGATCGGAAAAATCGGTTGTCATCGTATGCACCACGCGTACCCATATCAACCCCAAGCGCAACCTAACCTTCTTTGCAGATCCAAAGCGTCTCAACGTCGCCCTCTCCAGGGCCCGCGACGGTATGTTTATCCTGGGTCCGGTGGTTCACCTCGAGCATGTCCTCTCGGGGGACATCATCCGCTGGTGTCGGGAAAACCGTGTACGCACGTACTTGGAAGCTTTCGCGGACGCACGGCTTCCTTCCAAAAAGAAGTGAAGTCCAAGGTCGGACTTTTGTAAAAGGGGGAGATGTAAAGGATGGGCAGGGAAAACTAAAAATCATCACCCTATGTATTAAATTTTCAAATTTAAAACTTTTAAGATCGCCCGCGAGCGAAGGAGCGTGCTGAAGCCTGATTCATGGAATCGGTATGTCTTGTCGACACTCAAGATTGTTTTTCTTCGGGCTTTTTCCTCGGTTTCCCTTTTTTCAGGCGATGGGACGGAGATAACGGTGGGACCCGAATAAAAGCCGTGGACGGGACGATTCAGGGCTCTTGGCTCGACCGCGACGACTGAGGACAGGAGGACTCGCCTGATCAACGACTCCGACTTCCCACTACACCTGTCGTCTAATCCGGGGATGCGCCATGCTCCCGCCGACCCACGTCGATCGGTCGATCCGATCCCCGCTGTTGATCTGGAATATTTCCCATATTCGTACTGTATGTTGTTGTCTCGCTGAGTGCTTGTATTATTATTCTGCGGATCTCGTTCCAGTGCTATTGATGTAATAAGGATAAATCCATTTGTGAGTTGATCGGAGTTTCTTTATTTTTGGGTCATGACCAAGGGCCAGAAGTTAGAGTAAAATGATCCCTATGGGCCGGATCATTACTGTCCCCTTTTCATTCTGGAGTGCACCTCTTATCAAGCAGCCGCATGTCCTTATCTCATCGTATCTTCCATGAGCTTACACTCGTCCAATAATTACTGCCTCACACCTTATCGATTGATAACGCGAGGATAGCAAATCCAGCGTGGAAGGCGTGACTACTTCCTTTAATTTGCACTGGCGAGCTCACGTGGCCGCGTGTGCATTGCGCATCGTGCCTCATGGTGACGCACGCGGCCACTTGGGACAGCTATTTTTCGAAATTCTTAAGGCGAGCGATTGCGATAAGATTGGTTTGGGTCATAGTGGAAGAGGGGATTGCTTTATAATGCCCCAGTGGCGAGAAAAAAACGAAAAAAATCCGTCAAGAGCGCGCGAAACGAGACCCCTTTCTCGCCCACGGTCTACTTGAACCCGGTCCTTTAAAGGAAGCGATTACGATAGATTTTACAGGGGTTTGGAGTGGACGTGAGGGACTCAGTAATACACCAATGGCGAAAAAAGCAAAGAAATCTGTCAAAAATAAGCAGAATAATACCACTTTGATTGCCCTTTCATTTTCGACCACCGATGAGCAACGGTGCAGAACGACGTTGTTCAGACGTGTTAACCCCGATAGCTGCCATCTTGCCAACAAGCATAGTGTACCGATTGATAAAGCAATACGTGGGCAAGTTGGAAGATACAGCCGCTAGAAGGGAGATGTTCATCCAAAATGAAAAGCAAACACCAATCAGTCCATCCAGATCATCAACAGAACTAGTGGGCGTCACGTCACAGAGGGCGGGGCGTCGCACGGGTCCCTGCTCAGCAACCACAGCACCTTTCGCCGTGGGAGAACCACACCTCGCTTCCTTGGCAGCCAAGTAATTGCTTCGTGTGGCGCAGGTTCTCCCCCGATGTAAAAACTTCTAATCGTAATCGCTTCCTTTAAGCTACCTCAGATCCATCTCGCGTCTGCGCTCTCTCACCTTATCATGGCCATTGTGATCACACACATTCAAACTTTTGCCACACTGTAGTTGGCTCACCCTCCTCGAAGTCTCTCCCTCTTACAAGGTATAGTCCTAGAACTCCCACCTCCTTCCCTGGCATTTGGAGCCGAGCCAGGCGCCATTCCCTTGCTGTCTGCGCCCTTCGCCATTCGTAGCAGGACTATGGAAGAAAGTTCATGCAGTCCGTAAACCCCCTTTCTGTGCCCGATGACTTGAATTACCTGGGGCCGTAAGGTATGCTTCCCCGAACAGGATAGGGTCCCACCCCGGTAAGGTATGCTCTCGCGGAGAGCTTCCGAGGAGAACTCGCCGGTTTGAGAGAGGATCTTCCCGATCGACATGCGATCGGGGCTAGGGCTACCGTAATCCAGTGGCCGCAGAGTGTGGAATTGTCTGTCGGGCGCGCAATTCTTCTATGGATTGCGCATGGCAGTTCTGGAACTTTCACATTTGTGAGCGTGTAATCATAATTTCGATGTGTACAGCAAGACAAAGAGCCGATCGATCTATTTTGAATGATTTGCTCACCAACGATGTCATGTTGATTGAGATAGCAATCAAATCAAAATTCTGGATATTATGTTGCATTTTTATAAATTTCCAGACGTTGTGGTTTTTTTTGAAATTATGGACTACCATATTGCTTGGTATTAACATGTTAGTCAGAACAACTACAACCTGAGGTACTCGTTTTTCACCAATTAGTCAAGTTTATGCAGTCGAAATGCATATAGCGTTTGTTTCACGTTATTATACTCATATTTGGCACTATTGCACTATTACAACTCCACAGGGGACCGAGATGGGTCAAAAAATAATTTTCGCTGAAACTTCTGCTATGGGGGTCAACGAGGGTCCTAACTACGAGTATGACATCCATTTTTGGCGCTGGTGTATAGGGTTTATTTGGGGCCCTGATCACGAACATGACACTCGTTTTTGGCATTCTTGCCGTTTAACGCATACTTTCTGCCTTTCTAAGTTTTCTCACCTATAGCGCCTAAGACTAAGCTCAGCGGAGGGAAGTAAAACTCCGGAGTGGGTTAACCACGCACCGTGTGGCAGCAGTTGGGGTGTGTTAGACTACAAGGGAATGGCCCACTCACTTTGGAGCCCTCTACTATTCAAAGGCTTAGTGCTGGGTGCGTGGGACCAAGTCGTGGTCCCACCTGGCGCCAGGTGGGTTGTAATAATGCAATAGTACCTTATATTTATATATATTTAAATATTGACTATTCAATTTAAAGTCGGTTTTCTTGATTGTTCAGCTGAATTGTTTTGCTTGCTACACAACTATTGTAAAAATGGACTGAGGTTGGGCGCATCGTCGCGCCAAATATCCAAGGCATTCAAAACAATGACAATTTTCTCTTTTTCGTATTAACCTAATTCTTTTGCTGCACGGGCACATTGTTCACACAACCAGAAGCTTCGTTCCGCTGTTTGAGATTGGATTACTTGCCAGGACGAGCTCTAACACTGCGATCTTCCTCCCCTCCCTCACCACTGCAAAACCTATGCGAGCCCTTTCGCCTACACTTCAAAATGACTCACTCATCCAGGATCTCACACACTGCCAGACATTTAATTAAACAGTCGAGTTAGGTAAGGCAAATGTGTGAGGCGTCCATATTGCAACACCTGGACGAAGTGAAGCGCCGCGACCCTTTTTCCAACAAGATTTGCTCACAAGAATTTTCCTTCAACAGTATCTACAATAGACGAGAAGAGTGTTTCTTGATTTCTCCTTCATACTTTACAGGTCCTAAAGTGACCTTGTTTACGTCAAGTTGGACCCATATTAACTTCTAACACATGAACGCAAATGTCAATAACAGACTGCAACTTTGCAAAGATGCAAAAAGAAAAGCACAAGTTTTCGTCATTGCAACATGACTCTACGGCTGTGGTTTACCAGGGCAGAAGGCGATTTTTCTGCGTCTCGCAGCGCACAAAAAATTTCTCGTTGCTGGAGTTCCAGGTCCACTAATGATCAGCGGTGAACCTAACCAGGAAGGTCTTTCAGGGCGTGACGAGCTTTTTGAAAACGGTCTTTCGCATGATATAGGGGCAGACACAGAACCATGTTTAATTTTTCCTTAAAAGCCCTCCTGCATTCAAAAAAAGGGGGTCCTAGGTCGATTCCTCTTGGTTGACAAAAATTTTGCATTTCGATTGACGTTTTCCAAAATCCGCGCAAAATGGAGTTGGCGATTGTTCTGGTTGGTTCTTAACTCCATTTTGCGCGAATTTTGGCACCGTCAACTCGAAATGCAAAATTTGTCACCAGAGGAATGAACTAGAGACTCCTTTTCTGGTATTCAGAGGGCCGTTCAGGAAAAAATTGGAACATGCGTTCTGTGGTTCCCGCATCTGCCCATATATCAGTGCAAGAGGCCGTTTTCAAAAAGACTTGTCACGCCTGAAAGACCTTCCTGGTAGGTTCCGCAGACGAGTAATGTTTCGCGCTGCGAAAAGCGCAAAAAATGGATTCCTGTCCAGGGAACCACACCGGAAGTCACTGAAGGGCTGGTATGAGAAAGTGATGTATAGTCGTAACAGGCGATCAATTTAAGCGATTGCTATGCTTCAGTGCGAAGTAATCACAGTTGGAGGTGGCTGAAAATTGATTGATCCGAAACGCTAAACTTGGCAGCTTTCCAAGCCTAAACTTAGGACCAGGCAACCTGCAATTTTAAGAATCGCATCGACACTCTGTATCTCTGCATCCCTTGGGTCGCTCCGCGAGCATACCTTACGGTCGTTCTCGAGGACGCCCTGATCGAGGAGACCTTGCTTTCGGGGACCCGGCCCCAAATAGGAAAGCATCCCTTACGGCCGCTGAACGTGTGTCTAAGGGTACGTGCGAAACGGAGACTAAACTACTCTTTGGATCAGACCCCTCAAATAAATTTTGAAATAACGTACATGTAACAATATTTAGTTCGAAAAATAAAAATGAAAGCAATTTTGGTTTTACAAACGGAACAGTTTAATGATGTACAAAATTAATAATTTTATTCTATTCCTATAATGGACAAGCTGCAACCAATTAAGAGGTCATTTGCACATGTTGAACCGATAGCCGCTACCAGGGAGAATATCGGTCGAGGAAATCCTCGACAGGGGGGTCGTACTTGTCAGGCTCGGTCACCGGGGGGTCGTACATGTGGTGGTCAATAACATCAGTGGCTTAGTGGTGCAGATAGGAGTAAGAGGGTGTACCGCAGCAGAAAACGAAGATATGTGAGGTAACATAATTAAAACATTCTTTGCGAATTCATTCGCTACATTGTTCTACCTTCATGGGAAGGAGGTATTTGAAAGCAGGAGGGAGGAGGAACCAAAGTGCATCCCCGCAAGGAACGGGGTCACATGCGCATACGC